TTGTACATTAAGTGTATCACGAAAAACAGGTCTATATTTATATGCAGTACATCTGACGAGTGTGTGTCTACTGATTGTGAGAGAGAGAGAGAGAGAATCCCTGATCCGCAAAATGGGTGGTGTAATGAGCGGCACATCGAGTCTACACATCTTTTTACGAAAACTTTGTACTTTTGCCATAAGTTATGTTACGTAACATGAATTGTATAGTATTGTACTATATTTTGCACTCGTATTGTCAGTAGTGTTGTCTTATCACAGATAATGGAAAATTGAATTTTCTCTAATAAACAAGTGATATGAGATGTTTTTGCGAAAACAACACAATTAATTCACTTTGCTTTTCAGACGATTGATATTTTGTGTTAATTTGCGTCAAAAATTGTGTTAAAAAATCAATTTCTGGTTTTGGTATTTGTGTTAAACATTTTGGTTTACAATTTCCGTGTTTTCCGTGTTTTTGTTTTGGTGTAACAGAAAATGTTTACAAACACTGCAAACACTATTGGCTTAAAGTCTTTAAAGAGATTCTTACGTGAAAATCACTTCAATGTAATTAAAACGTCTCTAATTATGGTAACAATATTTGGTGCACTAATCTATAGCCTATGTTTGAGTCGTACAAAACTATACCCATATTATGAACAAGAATTGCAATATTTGGTCGACGATAAGGCATCGATGGACAAAGTGATGGACACATCGCTCACTATTTTGTTCGCATTCATCCTTTTATTCACACTTCTGTTCCTCTATTTCATTGTCAACGAGAATATGACCGGAATATTGATTATAACCCTAATGTCGACATTCGCTATACTCTATGGCTTTGCATTTCTGAGCCAACACTTACTTCTCACCACTTATATTGAGATCGTTTTCTCAGTAATCGAGATATTTCTGGGCTTTCTTTTCGTATACTCTATTAAACTCGAAACACATAAAAAAGACAATTATATCAAACATTATAACGACTCCGATGTCAATAAAGACAATAATCGACTCAATTTTGGCTCCATTTGAATGTCATTTGCATTGATTTTTTGTGTCTAAATATCCCAAAGATTCTCAAACTGTTGTATTTCAAAGTGTATGTAAAATAATTGTATATTTATATAAATAAATCTCTAATTAAAAATTTGCGTATTTATTAATATAGTTGTATTGTTTAATATAAGTGTCATTGAAACACATTAATTAATTTAATTAAAAATCTTTTATAAATTATAACTATCCCTGAATGCGAAATATTAATTAATTTTTACATTATTCTACAAAATGAAAACAAACACCAGAATTAGCATTCAGTTCATAACTATTTTGTCAATTATAATATAATATTTAATTAAAATGTTTGTTTGTTAAAAAGTTGTCATAAATGGGAAACGCTATGAAAAATCAAGAATTGAGGCATTTTTGTAGAAAAGAGTTGTCGAAAACAGGTGTCTATTGAACACAACTTTGAGCCCAAAAGTAGCCGAAAGTATAAGAAGGAGAGCGCATGTTCTGGTCGTCAATGTGTTTGTTTATTGTGAACATTATGTTTATAGTGAACCCCTTCATATAGTGAACAAAAATCAAACCCCGAAAAAGGGTTTAATGATAATTAAAGACTTTAAACGAGATTTGAATTCAGAGTCCGTTTTCGTCGTTATATTTGTTTTTCGACAAAACGTGTGATTCAATGGAAAAGCGACGCAAACAATGAGATTGAATGTCAATTAAGAAATAGCCTTCAATTTAATAGCGAATATAAAAACTCAATTTTTTCAAAAAAAACAAATATTGAATAATAATGTGAACCGAAAAATAAAAGTTATAAATAAACACATTAATTGATTTGTAACCCAATGTCTATAAAGTTGTGCTCAAAGTTAGGCAAAAAAGTTTTATTGCAAAATCCATAACAAATTGCAAAACAAATGGATTTTTCTCGCTTTAATAATTGGCGAAACATTTTGAAACAAAATCGGCTGAAAATAGTGAAACACTCGCTAATTGTGTTGACTCTGTTTGCGTTAATTGTGTTTCTGATAGGCTTTGCGTTGAATCGGCCAAAACTTTACGCCTATTATGAACACGAGTTGGAGTTGAAGGGAATGGGCGTCAAAATGGTCCACATTTTGGTCGACTTTCTCTTCTGGACAATCATTGTTTTGGTGGTCGTCTACACCGCTATATTCATCCACTTTGTATTGTTTGACAAATTGACCGGCATTTTAGTGCTCAATATATTGAACACACTATCGCTGGCCTACGGGGTGTTTGAAGTGAACCGATGGCTCGGACCCACTCTTCTGGACGTTGTTGTGGCCGTCATTGAGATAACGTTAGGCTTTCTATTGGCGTATTTACTCAACTCTCAACGCAAACCCGTTTTAACTGATGTACAATATTTGGCCAACGCTTAAGACAATTGTTGTTTAATTTTAAGTAAACTAATTGTTGTCTTAAATGCATGACTAATTGTGTTTTCTGTTATGTTTTACCGAATTGTGTCAAATATAGTGATTTGCTATTTTACTTAATCATGTGCTTTAATATTATTTATATAAAACTTTCCAATGTTTTAAAACATTTTTTATTTCTCTATTGAATTATTTATAATATTATTTAGAAAATAAATAATTATTTGTTCATAAAATCTTGTACTGAATTAATAAATTATTTGTCAATTGTCTGACGATTCAAAAGGGGGTAAACCAAACACTTCTGGTCTGAAGTCTAACAACGATTTCAATACAAGGGTTGCATTTCCTTCGCTCCCATCAAAGACAGGGTCGGGAACCCAAACGCACGGCATATTCGCCGCCAACGCTGCCTTCACTCCCATTAAACTGTCTTCAAATACCTTTATTGCACAAAAAAGAGATAATTGTTACTTATTTTTCACACAAAAATTATTGTCTCTCAAAGAGATAAACAATTAAAACATTAACATTAATACAAAATTATGGTTAAAATTCACTGACGAGAACATTGTGTGTCTCTGGGATCGGATCGAAACGATTCATGGCTTCGATGAAGATATCGGGAAAGGGTTTGCCTCTCGCGATGAGCGGGTCGTCGCCGCCAATCACCAGATGTTTGAAAAAGTTATTTTTGCTGAAGAAGTGCTCAAATTTGGCGGTTTTGATGGCAAAGGCATCAGATGTGGCGCCGCTTGCGATCGCCAGCGGAATGTTGTGGTCGTACAGGTGTCGCACCAGTCGTTCGGCGCCCGACATCAGTTCCACGTCTTTGACAATATGGTTGAAGTACTCATTACCCAAACGCGTGAATTCCTCCACAGTTATCGGGAGTTCGAGTTCTTTGATAATCACCTCAAAGCCCACTTTGGGACTCAAACCCATGACCCGGACCTTCAGTTCGTGTGTGTATTGTTTGCCGAACTGTTTGGCCACCATTTGGTAGGCCTTCGCATAGCAGGTCTCGGTGTCGATGAGGAGTCCGTCCAAATCAAAGAGTACGTGAGTTATAGCGGCCACGGGTTGAGCATTCATTTTCGCACCACTTATAACACTTACGCACTAATAATTGAACCTTTACCAAGTTTAAGTGTGTTTTAACAAGTTTTATCAACTTTTAACATTTGTGGTCATGACTATGCATATGAATATGTTATCATATCATTGAATGTTATGAAATAGATGAACATGGCAACATGGAACCACTGGTGACATCTATACATTGTAAACACATAATGATCATGTGTATTCACCTAAATACAATACTGGTTATTAATAATAACTTATTATACATTAAATATTTGTTAAACAACGTTATAACAAAATTAAGTTAACATTTCTTAAACTAAATGAAAATAATTAACAAAATTAATTATTTATGCAAAATATAATGTAATTTCAATAAGTATGTAAAAAGTTACAAGTACAAAATAACCAGATTCTTGAACAACAGACGTCTCTTTTATCACTGAATGCAATGCAGTATTACTTTTATTAATTACAGGAATTGATTTGTTAATTGCTGGCTATGTGTTAATGAAGTTGAGTTTTATTATAATTAAAAATACGCTAATTAATGGTTATGTTTCACAACTAAAAATAACTTTTTTTTGCAACAACGACCCATATATTGAACATACAGTATATTGTTATCTATAAAACATTGATTGTGTCAGAATATGCATAGAATATTCTTAACCCCATAAATAATGGTCAGAATGTTCTAAAATGTATATAATTATATGCATTATATTATTTGGCAATTACTAAAGCAATAAAATTTGCTTTTTTATCATAATTAAATCCTGCGATAAAAATAAAACTTTAAGTCAATCGCAATGTTGTTACTAATGAAATAACGTAGGCGTAGGGTTGGGATCGACACCGGGTTTATACCGATCTCAGGGTTAGACTATTAGCGCATGTATGAGGAATACCATAATGTCTTCTCTCTATTACTATTACATCATTTGATGCGAAATGACTGTCAAAACGCATTACATAATGTGTGGAAACGTAGAAATCAATACTAAATATTAAAGCCATTTTTGTGGGCAATTGCTTATTGACCGAAATTCCTGACTCTAATCATAAGCGTTTGAAATATATATATATTTTTGTTAAACATGAATAGATTTTTGGCAAATAAGAGAATTCAAGTAACGTTTGTTAAACACTTTCTGCTATTGTTGGTAATAATAAGTGCCGCCATATATGTGATTGGGTTTCACAACAAACGTGATGAATGGCAAGAGTATTACAAGAATGAGTTGACCAAAGATGGACTCGACGGACGATTGATGTCCAAAATTGCCGATATTATGATATATGCAGTGATGGCCACCACAGCTGTCTTTGCCATAATATATGTCACTTTTATTATCAAAGAGTTTTTCATTGGAGTTTTGGTGGTCTGTATATTAGAGTTGGTCTCACTTTTGTACTGCATTTCTCTCATTAACAAACCGATCGGTTTGAATGCACCGGAATTCATGGCATCTGTCGCTGAATTATTGGTCGGTTCCGTATATTGTCTGCTATTAAGACGAAAGCAAAAGGAAAGCCAAATGCAGAGCAATGACGAGAAATTCTTCAACGCCTGAAATGATTGCTATTATATTGAGAATCGATTGCTGACTATATTATCAGTAATTCATAATATTTTGCGATTTGTTTAGAGTTTTTAATTTTTATAAAATTTTTTGTTTCATATTTTGATAACTATTTTATAAACGAAATGAATTAAACGAATGTTAAATGTTTAGTTATTTCAATGTGTGATAAGATTTATGAATAAATAAAATATTTACTTACTACAATATCTTTAAACAAACTAGTTTTGTGTTTAAAGTAAACATTTGTATAAAATTATATTTTATTTGTATAAACTGTGATTTGTTTGTATATTTACAAAATTACTTTGTTATTCTAATTATTGTCAAAAATAAATAATTATTATTTTTATATATCAATAAAATGTAAAATTTTTAATAAATCCATTATTATTTGGTAATTAAAAATTTCCATTGCATATTAATATCCAAAAATATAAACTATTGTTTTAAACTAGAATTTCATTAAACTAAAAGTCTTGAGTTTATGAGAAATGTTCGTGTGTTTGAATAATTTTAAAATTTCTTATAATTTATTTTTATAGATTAATATTTAGTGCAACGAAAATACAAAATAAACTTTTTTTCCATTTAATCGGCGAGAAGAATTTTCCATAAAAATATATTATATGTCTCTATAATATTAATCGCAAAATAAAACATTAAAATATAAATTCTTAATGACTTTATTTGCGAGCCTACGGTTGTATGCAATTGTGGAGCACATGATAATAGTTTTGTTGAATAAGTTGTGTTTGTTTTTTAGTGGACAATTGATTTTGTGTTTAAAAAAACACAAACGGTTTTCATTGTGTACACAATATAACGATATAAATAGAGTGTATTATCGTATCCCTCCCTTCCAGTCAGTCAGTCACGAGTCGATTAAATTATATTTCTTTAGTTTTTGTTTATTGAATATAATTTATAGTTTTTGGAAAATAACATAAAACAAAAATTAAATGATGAAAACAAAGCTTCACTGATTCAATCGATACAATTCATCATAACTACGCTTGTTTCGTAATTTAAGTGGGTTTGAGTGTTTGTAGTCACACAACGCCCTTGCTCAATTTATTATACGACCCAAAAAACGCACAAACATTAAACAAAAATAATATTTTAAATAATTAATTCACAAAAATGACAATTTTTAAGTCCTTTCCAATCATTTGGAGGTACCATTTGGACACTCCCTCAACGGTTATATATTAATATATATTTTTTGTATTGATTTTCATATAACGTAACCTGCATTTTATCGTTAGCTTTTAATTCATATCTACTGTTTCTCTCACTAGT